TTTTTTTTTTTTTTTGGCTGCTCAGGCTGCCTCAAGGGTGGGTCTGGTAAGGCATGTGGATCTGGGGATTGAGAACCTTGGTATCCTGCACCTGACTGCGTTTGCATATGCAGGTGCTTAAACAACTGAGCTAACCGGCAGGCCCCTTCATCTATTTTAGATTCCTGTTTTTAAAAAAGAAAAATCAGTCTGCATTTTGAAATATGTCAAATTTAAAGAAGTTTGAGAAGTTCTTATAAGTCTAGAGAAACTTGAATTTTCCACAGTTCTTAAAGATGATTAAAGAAAGAGGCCTCAGAAGAGATAGAAACTACTGATGGAATGACCATAAAGAGGGAGGAGGGGCAGAGAGACTTTTGGACAGCATTCCTAAACTTAATGGCTTTTGGGTTTCTCTTGCAAAATACCTCTGACCCCTCACACACTTGGTTGCTTACAGAGTATCTCTTTAACGCACCTTCTGGCTCATCTACCATCAAACAGTGCAACACCAAAGCAAAGTGAAAATTGCACTGTTGGTTCTTAGCAGTTTTCTTCATCATAGTAGTGTTCTGGGTGAACAAAGAACCAAAAGTTCTGGAGTGCCTTCCTTTAGTGAAATAAATGACTGGTTCATTTTCTACAGCATCTCTACTGTGGTGATGAATCTCTGGCTGTGGGTAAAAATACCTGTGAAGACATCTGCCTCCATGCTAACATAGTTGATTAATGGAATTAGCTATGTCCTGGATCTGATAATTAGTTATGATACGACTACTCTGTGTTGAAAGTTTCATTGCCATTATCACAAAATCAAGTGTCAGAATTTGAGGCTGAAGGATATCTGGCAGTGGCTCTGGAAGCATCTGTGGAGATTTAATTGTGACGATATCAGTATGGTACTGTCTTTGTTTGGCCTGTTTACAGAGCTGCGTAGGATTTTAGTGGTTCTTCCAGGCCTGTTTTCCTCTTGTAACTTATTTTTAAATTCATAGTTTTGCAATATGTATAGTTCTGCAGTAATATGTATCCTGCAATACCTCCGAAATGCTTTTTGAAAAAAAGATATGAAAAGACTTATTGTACATGCTGATTCATTCTAGCATATTTTTAATTCTTTTTGAGAACTGACCCAAAATAAGTCCATGGGTGTATACGATGTAGTGTTATGGGTATATCTTACCTGACTGCAGTGGTCTTGAAGTGTAACTGCTGAGTAAAACTTCCTGATTTTTCGTGCACATTTCCCCACCACATCATAAGTAGATAAAGCTACTAGAGGCACAGGTGATACAGGCTTCTGGGTCACTCCTGATTCTGATATCTCAGGATAAATGAGGACCATTGCAGCCAGAATAAAGTCCTGTG